ATAAAATAACCAAAATCTCTCCTAAAAAACTGTTTAAACGAGCAGCTTGCATAGCTCGCCATGTTCATTTTAGGAGAGCTTTTTGCCGCTCTAGCACTCGTTTCTTCCCGCAAAGGAAGAAATGAGTATATATATATATATATATATATATATATATAAATATATATATATATACTCATTATATATACATATATTCAGAGTAGAAACTTAAAATTGCGTCTATTTTTCTAAGCTGAAGTTCTGAAGTAGTTTTCTAAGCTCAAGTTCTAAAGTAGTTTTTTAAGCTGAAGTTCTGAAGTTTTTGTCAACAAGTTTAAGTATGCAGGTACATAATTAAAATAAAAAATTTTAATTAAAAAAAAAAAAAATTTATTACTTTTTGAAAAAAAAGTTTTTACTATTTGTTAAATGAATATTCTTTAAACTTTGTTACACTATTTGCCATTGCTTATTCATAATATGATATTCAAATTTGAAAGTCCAAGTACTTATAAAATGTCTAAAAATGATGAAATTTAGTTAAAGGAAGAATTGAAACCATGATCATAATTAAAACCTTATAGTATAATATATATATATATATATATATATATATATATATATATATATATATATATATATATATATATATATATATATATATATATATATATATATATATATATCACTATAAAACATGAATGTTAAACAAAAAAATAAACAAAAAAAAAAGATTAAAATCACTATTATTCTACATTACATTTTTATTTTAACTAGTTAATCATGACTAGTGTCTTGTAAATAACATGTTGCATAACTTAAATATTCTCCATGTTAATGGTTTATGTTATCAATACTACAAGAGACAAATATTTTTTAAATACAAAATTTTTTTTTTAAGCGATCCCCAAATCCTGAAACAGCAGTTCATATCATACATTTTAAAAAATAAATTTGAATAAATTAAACTTACCTAACAAGTTGTGTATTTGAGGTATTAATAAAAAGTGTCATCATTTTGTTTCAAACTTTTTTTTCAATATTTTGTTCCTTTAATATTTTTTTTGTTCATAAATTTTTTATATTTATGAAAAATTCTGAAACATTTAAAAAATTCTTTTTTTTTTTTTTTGATTGAATAGTTTATTTAAGAAAATTATGTTGTTCAAAAAAAGGGAACCATTAACTTACACACATTAGTTAATATCATTGCAAGTCAAATAACTAATTTTTATAAATATAAATCTGCCTCAATTAAACCCCAGAATGTCTCATTCAAAATTAAGACAACCTTGTGTTGCTTCCTTGCTAAACATATTGTATGTGAAGTTCCTAGTTTCTTTACAAAATAATGGACTTTTGCCAAAAGTTGGGCAATGTATGTTTTTTTTAAAGCATCACGAATAGCTAGATGCAATGTGTGAATAACACAGCGCATCAGCCTAATGTCAGTAGACAAATGTTGAGGACAAATTCATTTTGTTCTTCATCCTGTTGAGCTTCATCTAAAAGATTTTTATTACCTGAATATTTGTTTAAAAGTGGGATTGCTCTAATCATATTGGCTGCATTTTTAATCACATTTATTCACATTTTCTACATTTTACACATACTAATTCAGACCGTGTTTTAAATAAAAAATGCTTACCGCAATAGCCTAATGTGAATTCGGTGACATAAAATTCTCTTTATTTTTTAATTTTTTAAAAGCATTAACTTTTTTTAAATTACTGCAATAATATTAATTACCGCAAAAAGAGTTAAATGTTATTTAACTTTTTTTTTTAATTATTATTATAAAGTAATTAATTTTTTTAATATTAAATAATTAAATTTAAAATTATATTTTTTTAAAATGTTTGATATAAACAAATTTCTTTCTTTTTTCGAAATTTGCATTAATGAATTAAAATATGTTAAATTTTTGAATTTCTAAATGATTATTTCTTAAATTTCTAATTGCGGCTTTGCAACTACAAATGATTTTTTAATTTAAAAACAATTAGTGAGTAACAAATTTTTTTTTTTTTTTTTTTTTAATTATTCACCTCCCCAAGGCCCGAGGGAACCACTACAGTCGAGGAGGCTACTCTTTTTTTTTTTTTTTTTTTTTTTTTTTTTTTTTTTTTTTTTGTTGTTGTTGTAAATCATGGTACAACCCTCTCTCAACTCTTTAACTCCGAAACACGAACCTTGACAAGGCTGCTGCGCAGAGAAATTAAGTTGAGCGCGGTACTGCCAGGGACATGGTGGGAGTCGAACTCCGAACCTCTCGCTTACAAAGCCAGCGCTCTTACCACTACCGCATACCGCAAATAAAAAATTGCGCTAATTTATTTACTTTATTTATTAAAAGTTAATTATTTTATTAATGATTTTGTTCTAAAAGCAAAGATTATTTTTCCAAACAACATTTAGTAAAAAATAATCGCTGCGATTTAACTTGCCATATAAAAAAAAAAGTTTAACTTACATTTTGTGCAAATTTTTAATGCAGCAATTTATTTAAAATTTAATTTTGAGTAAAAAAAAATGTTTAGGAAGGAAAACCAAAAAACAATTGCGATAAAAATGAGTTAATTTTTTTTTAAGAACAAATTAAATTCAAATATTGAATAATATTTAGTAATATTAAAAAAAATATATGACAGTTAAGTTAAACCCAAGCATTAACTTTAGTTTAAATAAACTTAAACATATTATCTAAATTAAATTAATTTTTTTTTTCATCAGAATAAAATTATATATTTTTATTAAATTAGTTTTGAATTAAATCATATATTTTTTTTATCAGTATTAAATTATATTATTATGATCTTTATTTCAAGCTTAAAGTATTAGTGTTTTTCAAGCAAAAATTATAATAAAATAAAAACAAAATAAATTTTCAATTTTATTTGAGTTCTTTTCATTAGTAAATAGTGCTTATATCTAACATAATTGTCATTCAAACTTTTATAACAAATATTTTTACATAAACATCAATCAAAAGTTAATTTGATTTTTTTTAAAATTAATTACTTCTTCTATTTTACCGCTTATAAAATAATTTAAAAGTTAAAAAATGATATTAAGTCGCCAAAACTGTTCACGTAAAATCGCTTGAGGGGTATGTAAATCGCTCTATGCGTAGCGCTTTGAAACAAGGCCTATATTTGATTTTTTCAGATATCAAATCTATTTAGGGCATTTTCCACCATTTTCTGATAGCAGCAAAGTTGTGCTGTCCTTCTGTATCTATCAGTGCCAATGTTTTAACTTGACTTTTTCCTGCATAATAATATTGATTATTTATTCCCATATCCATCAAAAGGCTCCTTTCGGATTAAACAATTTTATATTTTATATATGATTTTTCCTAATGCCGTTTCATTTTTATCAATTAAAAAATACCTATCTAAAAAACTTTCAGGGTTGTTTGAGTTTGAAGCCATTTTTATTAAAAACTTTAGTAAACAAAATAAATGACAATTAATCATTATATAGCACTATAATTAACTTGCATTGAAAAACAAAAAGAAAACTATGAAACTATTGCTTTTTAAATAACTAGGTTATGGAATCATCTTCACTACCAAAAAAAAACTTTTTTAGAATGAAACTGATGCATTTTTTTGATGTTTTTTTTTTTTAAATTGAATTTAAAAACTGATTGTTTATATTTTTCCATTAACTAATTAAAATCAACTCATAACTTTATGGCAACTCACACAAACATAAATACTGCTAATGAACATTCAATTAAAAAAGCTTTTATAGTTTCAAATAAAAGTAAAAATAAAAAAATATAAAAAAAAAACTTTTAAAGATAATACAAATATTAAAAAAATATTAGTATAAACAAAAATAATATCAATAATCTCAAAAAAACGTTTAAAAATAATTTCTTAATTTTATTTGGAACTCATGTTTATGAATCTAATTTTAAAATGGTTTGACTAATTAAAAACAGTAAAAGAAATCATGTGACTTAAAACGAGGATAAAGTATATTTTTGTTAACTAATCATTGACATTGTTTAGAAGTATTGTTTTAAATAAACTTATCATACTCAAGAATATGAACAACATGACATATTACACAAAATAATTGGATAAAAATTAAATTCTAATATTTTGAAAATAAACAAAAACAATTTATAAGCTTAAGTATAATTTTTAGATAAAAATGAAAATAAGAAAATCCTTCTTGCTTCAAGTTACACATCTATTATTTAACAGTTTTATTACATATATATATATATATATATATATATATATATATATATATATATATATATATATATATATATATATATATATATATATATATATATATATATATATGAGTGGGTCAGAAGCCAAGAGGTACAAGTGACAATTTTACCAAAATTAAGTTAAGTATAGAATTTGATAGAAGAAGCAAACAAAATTGTTGGTGGCCAAGGGATACAAGTGAATCTCTGCCCTGTGCTGCTTTCTACTGGAAAAACATAACAACAGCTGAGTATATTTAACAAAAATACTTTAACTTTAAACAGCTGTATATCAAAACTATGAAAATGTCACCTGTACCCCTTTTCTTCTGACCCACTCTCTCTCTCTCTCTCTCTCTCTCTCTCTCTCTCTATATATATATATATATATATATATATATATATATATATATATATATATATATATATATATATATATATATATATATATATATATATATATATATATATATATATATATATATATATATATATATATATGTATATATATATATATATATATATATATATATATATATATATATATATATATATATATGTATATATATATATATAACATCAAATTATTGTAAAACATTTAATATTATAATAATTGCTTATTTACCTTTTTGTTTTTTTTTATAAAGCAAATGAAAAAATGCTATTTTTAGAAATTAAAAATATTTTGATGACTGTAATTGTATAAGTTCTTTAAGAAAATCTTATATAAAATATTAAATTTATGGAACTTTGATATTTAAAATATCAAAGGGTGGAGCTGGCTCCAGCAGGAAATATTTTAGCTTCAACACTTGCTCCGCTCCATGTAAAATCGCCAGCTTCAGTTAGCTCTGGAGCCGCTCCAAAGCCCTTCCATCAACAGTTTCAGATGACTTGATTAAAGTTTTGGCATAGACAACAATCAGAATTATGACAAATGATGCAACAGTGGTATGCTGTTTGTTTTTAAATAGAATTTGTTTAATTTTTATCTTATTTTCTAATATGCCGTATTCATATTGTTGGCTAAATGATCAAGAATATAGAAATTAAAGGATCTCGACTTTATCAAAAAATTACTTGTTTTAATAACTTTAATATGCAATGGAGGTGAATTTAATTACCAATGATTTGATTGAATTTAATTACCGATGAATTTAATTACCAATGATTGGAGGTGAATTTAATTACCAATTAATTATGCAATGGAGGTGAATTTAATTATTAATTAATGGAGGAGAATTTAATTACCAACAGTTGGCTAAGCCAACTGTTGGTAATTAAATCTTGGTAATTTATTTTTATTGGCAATCTTTACATTTGCTGAAATACCTTTTGCTAAAAATGTATGTTTTATCTAAACTACACATTTAAAGTTTATTTTGGAAATCACTTTTTTTCTCGACATCTTCACTTTCAATAAGGCTGCAAGCAACCACTATTAGAGTTGAAAGTTACTAGAAGAAAAAAGATAAAATTTATAGAGCAAGGTAACAATTGACAGACAACTTAAAAGGTTGTAAATTATATGAACCAGGAAAGCAAGATAATGAAAGCAAATTTTTTTCCAAAGAACTGATGTTAGAGGAAAAAAACTAGACGAATAAGAATTTTTGGAGCACTTAGGAACAGTCACAGTAAAAGGATGAGACCTAATTAAATGATGAGTAACACAATAAATTTTAGCAACCTTACAACGATGTGATAATGGCTAGAGGTTAGCTGTAAGAGCAGGTCCAACTATGTTTACAATGTGTTTTTGGATCTTGTCTAAAAGAGAAAGGACATCATTGGAAGTTCCGCCCCAGGTATGGTAACAGAATTCCATACATAAACGGAATTTGAGATTTATAAAGATAAAGAATAGAATCCTTATTAAGAAAGTTGCGAGCACTATAAAGTGATGCAAAATTGGCAGATGCTAATTTTGCAATTGATTGGATATATGGTTTCCAAGAAAGATCGGAAGTAAGAGTTAATTCTAGAAGATAAAGGGTAGATGACTCATTGAGTGCATTACTGTTCATAAATATAGGAAGATCTAGACTGTTCTGATTATGATTAGCTGAAAAAAATTGAGTTTTATCTGAGTTAAAGTTCACTAGCTACTGAGAGCCCCATGCTGTAGCAGAAGTGAGATCTTTTTCAAGCTCAAATGTCCCCTCTAAGCAATCAAAGAGTGTTAGCTTCTTATCAAGACAAGAATAAATGTTAGTATCATCAGCAAAAAATGCTTATTATAATATAATAGACTACATCATGCTGCTAGCCAGAAAAATGTTTAATATGCTTTTTTTTATTTTAAAAAAAAACATACTTGTAGGTAATAGTGGATGTGATAGACCTTGTTACTGTGCTAAATTTTGTACTTACAGGTTTATGGAACTGAAATCAGGGTATATTCCTTATTAGGAAAGTTGTAATTTCTGTAACAGATTGTACTGAATTTTAACTGTATGGTAAAAAAAAGTTGATTAAGTGGCTGAATATTTTTTTTAAAAATGAAAAAATATTAATTTTATTTTACAGACATACACGGAAACTTAATTAACTTGAATGTTCTTAAAGCATCTTGCGGAAGAATAAAATAAACTTTTAATAAAATAAGTAACTATAGTTAGCTATTTTAGTAAAATTTAATAGTAAAATTTTTAAAGAATTTCTAGAATGTTTCCAATGATGTCATCCACTAAAACTCCTATGAATTAAACACACTTAAATAAATTATCAAGTCTGTATAATGCGCCTGGAAAATCGTGTTTATTTTACATACTCAAAATACCGCAGAAAATGGAGAAGACGAGCTTCAACTAAAACAAAAAGATTTGTTTTTCTTGGTATACATTTATTAATTAGTTTTGATCAAAAAAAATTTGCTCAAAATTTTTTTTTAACATTCTCTTTAATATGAACACAACATGTCTCGGGACTTGGTAGTCCCTTTAAAGATTTAAAACCTCCGATTTCTGTGGCATGCAGCTAAATCTAATTGTAAAAATAAATAAATTGATAAAGCATCAAACCTTAAAAATTGTTGGTTGCTTAAAAATAAAAAGTCTAAAAATACACACATACACATATTTATTTTTCAGTTTAGAAGATGCAATGAAAAACCTTACCAAAGTAATTTACACAACCAACATTAAGGTTTTAAATAACTTGTTGCTCAAATATATGCCATAGCAGTACCATTTTAAGTATGGCTGCATAGTGATTGGAACATATTTGGCAAAACTTGACCACAACTTTAATCCTTGTTGGTCCTTTTATACTGACAGTTTGGTGAGCTAAAGTTTTGGATAGATGATTAAAGGAAAAAAACAACATGGTTATCTCTTGGTAATGAAGTGTTTTTAAAAGACTTGAAATTAGAATAGAAAGAAAGAGTGGAAAAAAAAAAAAAAAAAAATGCCATAATGCCAACTTGTAATGAAAAAGTTTGCAAGTTTTTTTTTTTTTTTTTTTTTTTGGTATCATGTTTACTTATATATTATATAAACTATATAAAAGTTCTTAATTTTTTTTTTGAAATATATTTGGAACTATAGATGCTTTAATGTCAATGAACAATAATAAACTTATTAACATATACATTAATGTTTGAAATGATGAAATAAATGTAATAAACACTGTTAATGAGATTTTATAATGTTTCTTTTAATATTTTTTGAACAAAAGTTTTTATGTTAAATTCTTAACAAAATTAGTATTTTTTCAAACAATTTTTTTACAAATATAGAAGTAACAAGGGATGTTATCAAAAGGGAGTTCAACAATGTCTGGGCTGATTGGACAGGGAATTCACCAGACCTTAATTGCATTAAGCATGTATAGGAAAGGCTTCAGAACAGTGTTTTTAAGAATCCCAGATCCCAAAACTGCTTACTACTTATCACAAGAGTTCAAAAAGAATGGGCTTCCATCACCCAGGAAAAATGCTATTCACTTATTGTTTTCATGCCAGAATTTAGGAATGTTTTGGTGAAAACGGCAGAATAACTCACTACTGATCAGTAACATTGTTCTAAAGATTTTGTGAAAAAATTAATAAAAAGTATTAACTAACAACTGAGTTAAAGTCATTTATAAAGGAAAACTAGGGGTCAGAAATTAAATGTACACCCTGTAGTATCCAACACATCAAGAGGTGATGGTTTTATAGCATTGAGACAAAGTGGTTACAAACCATTAATTTTTGTTTTATCCAGAAATAAGATCTCATCAGATTCAAGAAGTATTTATATAACAGTAAATTTCAGTTTCTAATAATTGAATAAAGTTTCAATTTTTTTTTCATATATGTTTTCAACATTTTACATTAAATTTTTACATCTTGGAATATGCAGTTTTTTTAAAAAACGTTGAGTTGTAGTTATTTGTTGTAAAAACTTTATTGTTATTGGAAATAGTGAAATTTTTTTTTTTTGGATAGAAAAATAATTTGTTGAATAAATTTTTTAAATTAAAAAACTTTAAATTAAATTTGACTTCTTAAATTAAAAGTTTTACTTTAATTTTGAAAAATTATAAAATGGTATTGCAATATTTCTTAAAAAAGTAATTTTTTTTCTTATTATTTGCTAATTGATTAGGTAAAAATATTAAAGTTTCCATTTTAGATTTAAATGTGTTAAATACAATCAAAAAACGTCTTTGTTTTATTTTAAAAAGGAGAATCCCCATTCTTTTTGTTTTATATCACTCTCTTTCATATTATGACTGCATTTTTTTCGACGTTATTTCTAATCAAATTGACCAAGCCCTTTTTATTTATCCTTCAGCCATCATTGTTGTGACTTTAATGCTAACATCTTCAGTGACATATTAATGTTGTAATTTAATTTAGATGGATGGTTGTTAAAGACAGTTTTTTGACATAGATTGAGTAAGTTGAATTTGAAATGTCACTTACATCAATAATTAGTTAATATTTTCATTGAATCAAAATTTTGTTTTGTAGTTTTAATTTTTAATGCTCATCACTTTAAATGGCTTGGTTCTAGTGTCACTCGCTTTCCAGACATTCTGAATCATTTACCTTCTCTACTCAACTTATGTCTTTTTTTTAATACTAGTCAGTGCTCAGTTTTTCCACATTCACCCTTAGATGCCTCTCCACGGTTTGATCTCTCTAAAACTGTTATATTATTATTATTTCATCACCAGAATCCCCTTATCATCGTACCTCTTACAGCTACCTTAAAGCTGGCTGGGGACTTTTTCTGTAATTTTCTTCATGATGGCCCTTGGGTAGAAATCTTTTGTCTTTCTGCTGACAATTGGGCTTATTTAACTTCTTGGACTCAGGTTGGCATGGAATCTTTTATTCTTTCTTGGTGATTATAATTGGAATACTGTTGTCATATATGGGCTGGTTCTTCTAACGATTCACTTTCTCTTCTTGACAAGGTCCAAAAACGCATTGTAAATGTTGTTGGACCTGGACTATCTGCTAGGCTTGAGCCTCTTTCCCATCGTCGTAAAGTTGCATCTCTTTCTCTTTTCTACAAATACTATCATGGTCACTGCTCAAAGGAGTTATCATCTCTAGTTCCATCAACTAAAATTCATTCTTGTTTTACTCGTCATTCAGCTAAGTCTCATTCGTTTACTGTATCTGTCCCTGTATGCTCTAAAAAATTTTATTCATCTAGTTTTTTTCCCTGCACTTCAATCCTTTGGAACTCTCTCCCATCTTCATGTTTTCCTGACTCATACAACCTTCAACTTTTCAAGTCTTCTGTCAACCGTTTCCTTGCTCTATAACTCTGTTTTTTTTTTTCCTAATAACTCCCAACTTAATAGTGGTTGCTTGCAGCCTTGTTGGGAGTGAATGTAATTAAAAAAAAAAGTCAAGCTTCACTCTTCTCCATAGTTTTCTTTTTATTGTGCTGCTGCAATTTCTGATCATGACCATTACTTTTATATCTATTGCCAAAACAATTCTCCACAAAATAGTTATTTGTTTACTATTGCTAGAAACTTTTGTAAAAAGATTTTGTCAGATTTCAGGTTCAAATCTTGTATTTCATCTCAAAATCTAGGCTCCAGAGACTTCTATAGAATCTTTTAACATTGTCTATAATAAGGGCAAATCTGTTATTCCTACTCTCTTGCATGGCTCAGATTTTGTTACATCACCTAAAGACAAAGCTGAATTGTTTGCTAAGGACTTTTTATCAATCTCCTCTTGATTCCACTAATCAAATCCTATCTGATAAAGCTGACAAACAGGTTGATCCAGGGTACTTTAGATACAGAAACTGGAGTGATACTTTCGTATCACTCCAGTTTCTAAAGTGATATCCTGCTTAGATTCTTCTAAAGCTTGTGGTTCAGATAATATGTCTGTTATAAGCAGAAGTGTTCTTCGGAGCTGTCATCTATACTTTCAAATCTATTTAACAATTGCTTATCAGTCTTGTTTTCCAGCCTGCTGGAAAACGGCATCTCAAGGCTATCGCTCTTGACATTTCTAAAGCCTTTGATAAAGTTTTGGCATGCTGGTCTTCCCTATAAGCTCTGTTCTTATGCTGTATCTGGTAACATCTTTAAGTTTATTGAATCTTTCCTTTCTAATCGTAGTATAAAAATTGTTCTCGATGGATAGCACTCTTCTTCATATCCTATAACTTCAGTGGTTCCTCAAGGTTCTATCCTTGGCCCTATCCTTTTTTTAATTTACATTAACGATCTCCTTGAAATAATCACATGTAAAGTAGCATTGTTTGCTGATGATACTAACATTTAATCTTATCTTGATATGCCAACACTCTCTGAATGCTTGGAGGGGGCATTTAAGCTTGAAAAGGATCTCACTTCTGCTACACCATGGGGCTCTCAGTAGCTGGTAAACTTTTACTCAGATAAAACTCAAAATTTTTCAGCTAATCTTTATCACAATAATCTAGATCTTCTTGCATTTATGAACACTAATTTACTTAATGAGTCATCTACTTTTTGTCTTCTAGTATCAACTTTTACTTCTGATCTTTCGTGGAAACTATATTTAAAATCCATTGCAATATTATCACCTGCTGAGGATGCATCTCTTTATTTTGTTTGCTATTTTCTTACTCTGGGTTTATTCTTTATCTCTATAAATCTCAAATCTGTCCTTGTATGGAATACTGTTGTATCTAGAGCAAATCTTTTAATGATGCCTTTTCTCATTTAGACAGGTGCAAAAATGCATTGTAAACAACCTGTGTTTGCAGCTAACATTCAATTATTTGGTTGGCTGTAAGAGCAGGTCTAACCATTATCACATCATTGTAATGTTGCTTCTCTTTCTCTTTTCTATAAATACTGTAATAGGCACAGCTCTAAAGAGATAACGTCTTTTATAGCATCTACTAAAATTCATTCTTGTGTTACTTGTCATTCAATTATATCTCAACCTTTTACTGTGACTGTTTCTAAGCTCTCCAAAATTCTTATTTGTCTAGTTTTTTTCCTCAAACATCAGGTCTTGGAAATTCACTTTTTTCATCTTGTTTTCCTGGTTCATATATTTTTTTCAAGAGGTCTATTAATTATTATCTTGGTTTATAAACTTCATCTTTTCTCTTCCAGTAACTTCCACCTCTAATAGTGTTTGCTTGCAGCTTGTTAAAAGTGAAGATGTTAAGAATAAAAAAAAAAAGGTTTTTAACATGGCTTAAAATTTAAATTATGTGTTACTTAAAAATATGCTTGATGCAATTTAACTTTTAATGATATAAATATCAAAGCTGATATAAGTTACATTTATATGCACAAAGCGTTCTCATAACATAATGAATTCTTGTAACACTTTCTTTACACAGTAAAATTTCATTTACAAGTTTACAAATTACATAGATATTACAACATTTTGTCACAATGAAATCTTGTAGCAAGGTTCGTTTATCAAACAACCCTAATCACTTACCTTCATTCCTTGATTTGTGTCTTGTCTCTGACCCTAGCTTGTGTTCCATTCCTTTAGGTTGTTCCAATTATGGAATGATCTTTATAAATCTTTCATCTTGTACTTCTTCAGACCCTATCATTGCACTACCTACTACTACCCTTAAGCTGACTGGGATTCTTTTAATTTTTTTTTTGATGGTCCTTGGGCTGATGTCTTTTCTCTCTCCATTATAAAATTTTGCATCTTATGTAACCTCTTGGATCCAGGTAGGAATAGAAGCCTTATTTCTTGTTATCGGTCTCAAGTCAAGTCTCATACTATTCAATTATTTTTACCTTTTTGTGCAGTTGCTTTATCCAATCGTAATCATTTTTTCCTCTTTTTCAAAAGAACAAATCTCTTGTGAACAAATGCTTATTTATTATTGCAAGAAATGAATGCGAAAAAGTTCTGTCTGATGCTAAGCTTTATTATTCTCAGCTCACTAAATTGTGTATCTTATCTCAGAAGTTAGGCTTCAGATACTTTTGGAAAGTCTTCAGCAGCATCTTTAACAAAGGTAGGTCTATCATTCCATCTCTATTTATTGGACTGATCTTATTACCTCTTCCAAGGATACGGCTGAACTATTTGCAATAAACTTTTTATCTAATTCGGCTCTTGAATCTTATGGTCATACTCTTCTATCCATTTCAGTTAAACAGGTTAACCCATTGTTAGACATTTAAATCACTCCAGCTTCTATTGCTATCTCAGTTTTTCTATGGCTTGTGTTTCAGACAGCATTCCTGACATAGTCTTACAAAAGTGTTCTCCAAAAACTTGTTCAATTCTCTCTTAACTGTTTAAAGAGTACTTATCTGAATCTTTTTTTCCTGCCTGGTGGAAAAAACGGCATCTGTGGTTCCATTTTCTAAAAACTCTGATGAACATTCTGACCCCTGTAACTATAACAGTCTTCTTCTTTCTAACTACTATATTAATGTAATCCTAAAAGGCCAACAGTCTTTTATTGATGAATAATATCTCTCACTGAGTCCTCTTGCTAATGTCCTCTTGGATTATCGTTTACTACTAACCTCTCATGGAAACCAAATAAACAATTGATTGCAAAGCTAGCATCTGCTAAGATTGCTTCTTTATCGAACTTGCCATTTTCTTACTCCTGATTCCATTGTCTACCCTTACAAATCTCTTATTTGCCTCTGTATAGAATACTATTAGTATATTTGGGTTGATTCTTCTAATGATGCTCTTTCAGACAAGATCCAAAAACTCATTGTAAACATAGTCAGACCTGTTTTATCTAACAAGCTTGAGCTTCTCTCCTATCATTATAAAGTTGCATTTATTTCTCTTTTCTGAAAATAGTATCATGGTTGTTGCTCAAAAGAGATATTATTTCTAGTTCCATCAAATAAAACTTATTCTCACTTGACTTGTCATTCATTCAAGTCACATCCTTTTACTTTATCTGTCCCTGCATGCTCTAAAAACTTTTATTCGTCTAGTTTTCTCACTTTTTTTTTTAGTAACTCCCAACTCGAGTTGGGAGTGTCTAAAAAAAAAGAAGAGTTAAGGAGCAAGGAAATGATTAACAGAAGACTTGGAAAGTTGTGTTGTAAGAATCAATAGAACATGAAGAAGGGAGAGAGTTTCAAAGGGCTAAAAAACCCTTTTAACCCTTTGGAACTCTCTCCCATCTTCATGTTCTATTGATTCTTACAACACAACTTTTGTTAATCATTTCCTTGCTCCTTTACTCTTCTTTTTTTTTTAGTAACTCCAAACTTGTGGGGTAAACAATGTGCGGTGAGCCATTGAGAGAGAGTTGTAACCACAATTTAAGTAGCCTCCCTAACTATAATGGCCTTCATTGGCTTTGGGAGGTGAATTAGCAAAAAAAAAACTTAATAGTGGTTGTTTGCGGCCGTATTGTGAGTGAATTTAAATAAATATATACGAAGTTGCTACTGATATGTGTTTCATTTTGAGTTAAGTTGTTATTAAAAATTTTAAATTGAGGAAATCTAGAAAATATTTAATAGTTTGATATTTGTTACAGTTGTCTATAGAAATTTATTTATATTTTTATTTTATTTTTTTTAATTTTTTATTCATTCAGTTGAACGTTCTGTATACAAGGATTTGGTGTGTCTTTTGCAAGAAAATAGATATCTCTCAGAGCAAGAATTACGTAAAAAGGTTAAAGTTGTATATTGATTTTTACACTATTTTATTTACAAGAGAGCCTAATAGCAGTCTGGAATTATTAAGAAGAGTGCAGTAAAAACTTAATTTTATGTTTTTGTATGCATTGTGTACCCTCTTACATAACTTTATATGGTGAAAAAGGTACCTTATATTTTTTTTGAAAATGTTCAGACAATTATTTTTTACTTCGGGTTTTATCTCATTTGTTATTAAAAAATTTTTTAAAACATCAAAATGAACATGGAAAAATGTTTTGTTCGTTGAAATGAACAAAACAATTTAAAAGTATACTGCAGCTTTTTATCAAAATGCCTTAGTTAAAATTAAAATTTAATTAACTTTTTTTTGTAAAATGAGCTAATTTGGATGTCTGTTAATGTTATTGAATATGTTTTTAAAAATTTTTGAAAAATTTTTGAAATATATTTATATTTGAAAAAAACCATTATTTAAAAAAATGCCTCAAAATTAATATTTTATCAATTGCCTTTTAAGTTGATATTGGAAAAATGAAAAAACTAGATTATATTTTACCTTTTTTATAGTTGGTTATTTGATAACTGTTACGTGTAACTTTGTTTTAAAGTTGGAAGTTTTTTTTTTGTTTTTTTTGTTGTTTTTTCTTTTTTTGTTTTTTTTACAGCTAATATTTAACTTCACAGCTTTTTTGTAGTTTTATCTATGTTAACTTTTATTAAAATTAATTTTGTCAAGTTAATTTTCTATTTTATGGTAAATTACTATGCTTTTGAGTAATAAAAAATTTAAATAAAAATTAAATAATGAATTTACAAGCCTTCCCAGGAAGTGCATGAAGTCACACGTCTTTTATGTCCACACTTAAAATAATTTTTTTAGACAACTTGACCATGTTTTTATATAGTAAGCATTTTAAGAATTTGTGGCTAAATAAAGCTATAAGAAACTAGAAAATAAATCAGCAATACTTGAAGAAAAGACTATACGAAATATAAAATCTAAATAAAATAAGCTAAAAAGAATTTATTAATAAAAAAAGAATGTACCTAAATATTTACTGTTTTTGTTTTCTTATTTTTAGAGCCTTTGTTATTTTTCCACTATCAAAATTTATACAAGTCGAAGAAAAAAGTAGATAAGAATATAACAAAAATAAAAATATTTTTTGATATACAATTAACAACAAAATAAATTGCGCTAGAATCACTGACAATTTTTCAAATTTGTTTTTCAAATGTCTTTGCTAAACTTTACTGTTTTTGGAAGGCTTGGATTTAATTTAACACTAAATAATTGCAGCTATTTTATGAAAATATGCCATATAGTTATACCTTGAAGCTAAATTTATTCTTGGCCACAATGGCTATAAGGTAGATCCGTGCCTATATATATATATATATATATATATATATATATATATATATATATATATATATATATATATATATATATATATACAGGCCTTGCGATAAAGCGTTGGACAATGTGAATTTTACGTCGTCCAAGAGCGATTTTGCGTGTAGCTAGGGCTATTTGCGTCAAGCAAAAAAATTTTTATTTGAGTATATTTAAAGATATTTTTGAGCGGAATTTTAATGAAGTAATTTATGATTATTTTAACATTTAATAAAGTATTTTAAAAACCGCACGCTGTTAATACAAAAGTTTGAATTAAAGAAAAACTAAATATGCTCATTATTTACAAGTAGAAAAATTCAGATAAAAAAAAAGTTTAAATCTTTTTAAGCTAACATTTTAATAAAATTATTATAGCAAAGTTGTCGATAAAATTGAACAAAAATACTTTCTTTGAGTTTTAGATTTTTAACTTAAACAATTATTTTACGGGGGTTTGTTAGGTTTTAAAATTATTCCATAGATTTAAAAATATTTATTAACTGTTAGACGTATTTAAAGTATTCAAGAGTAATTTCAAGGAAATATTTTAAAAATTGGTAAGCGCAAATAAATAAAAAAAAAAAAGAATTAATATTAAAACGTATTCTACTTGATTCAATTAAAAAGTACAGCTATTAAAATTTTTGTAAAAAGTAACTCTAAAAAAAAAATTACTTAAATAATAACAATCGCTTTTTTGTTAGAAGTTACCGAAACTCAACGAAACGTGCTCAAGAACTGCTGCTGAAAAATAGAACGTCAATAGTTTTTCGAATAATTTTTAAGAATAATTTTTTCGCTGAAATATGTCTTTTATACCTATAAGATTTTTATTCAAACATTTTCTTTTATTTTATTTTACCAAAAATAAAATTCCTTGTAAACATTAAAAATCTATTCAAAACGTTTGTTAAAGTTTTTTAGCAATACGAGTGATTGTGCTTATCAACCGCTTTATGAAAATAAATAGAAATAAAAAAATAAAAAATATTATATCAAATTGCTAGTAAAAATATTAGCTATTGCACATTTTTTAATCGTACAATATTAAAATTTCCAGTTTATTACTCGCTGACTTTTTAAAAAGAAAAAATAATTATTTGAAAAACTTTAAATTACATATTTGATAAAAAAAAAATCAAATATTAGCATATTTTATAATCTTTTTTAAATGTTTAGTTATAATGTTTTTTATTCGTTTAGTATAGACAAAACGTGTCAAACGTTGCGCAGTTTTTATTCATCACAAGGCCTGTATATATATATATATATATATATATATATATATATATATATATATATATATATATATATATATATATATATATATATATATATATATATATATTCATAAAATAAAAGTTGTATTTTTTTCATTTAAATTATATAAATAAAATTCGATCTATTTTACAAAGAAATATTGATTACTCTTAAGCAGACAAGAGTTGTATTTTTAACAAAATACTATACCTATCAACAATTAAATATATATATATATATATATATATATATATATATATATATATCATGCTTGGTCAGGAAGCGGGAGCAATCGCTCTCGATTGCTGACCACGTAAATAATATTTAGTTGCGAAAAGCTGGCCAGATTTTTTAGTCGTTTTGAGAACATTTTGAAAAGCAAAAAAAAAAAGCGCTAAAGATTAATTGGACCAATGAGAGACAATTACAAAAAAAATTAGGTAAATGAAATATCTTTAAACGCGAAAAAACTTTAAAGCGAAAAAGCTAAATAAATTACGTTTAGAACAAATATTTTCGAAACATCGCTCTTTTATAATTTTTTTAATAAAATTAAGCAATGTTTTTTATATAAAGTAACAAGTTACGATTGTTTAAAAAGGAAACAAATATTCTTTATTTAACAAAGTTTGCAAGTTTTAATTTTATTTAAGCTAAATTATTTTATAAATAATAAAGTTAATTTTTTTAATACCTATTTTATGTTTCGCGTAGTTTAACATATTTGAAGCAATTCTTCTTAAATCATTGAATTGCTATAGAAATTAAATTAACAATATAGAAATCAACTTAAGGTTAAAAATACTTTATGACAAGGAAGCAAAACTGCTTCACAATATCGCTAGTGAGTGGGCTTTTTAATTTTAATTAGTATTTAAACCAAAAAAAAGTATAACGAGTTTTATGAATGGCAACTTAAGCGAAAATAATTAGAGTTAGTAAACCAATGTCTAGTAACTTTTTTTTATATCTAATTATTTGCTATATATATTCACTGTATATATATATATATATATATATATATATATATATATATATATATATATATATATATATATATATATATATATATATATATATATATATATATATATATATATATATATATATATATATATATATATATATATATATATATATATATATATATATATATATATATATATATATATATATATATATATATATATATACAGTGAATCCAAAAATTATTGGCCCTCCCTTGCATAACTACTTTATTTTTGTTGGCATATGTATATATACAACAAGTTTCAGCTTTTCAATTACTTTCATTCTTGTTTTATTGAGAAAACAGTATAAGTTTGTTCAAATATTATGTACAAAAATTATTGGCCCAGAGAAAAGAAAAAAATTTTTGTCCATCGCGAAACAGGTATTTCATCGAATCTAGTATCGTTGGGTAACCTTTCATCTTGATGCATTCTTGTAATCTACTTGGTACTGAATCAACAAGTTTCTGGAGAACAGACAACTTGATGTTATTCCATTCGTTCTTCAAGAGGTCTTCAAATTTGTAGATATTTTTCGGCTTGTGTTTCTTCATCCTCCGGTCGATCTCATCCCATAGATGTTCTATTGGATTGAGATCAGGCGAGGATGAAGGCCAAGCTAATGTTTGAATATTGTTTTTTTTTTTGAGCCAATCCTTGACTAGACCTGATGTATGCTTGGGATCATTATCGTGGGCGAAAAAAAATTCTTGTCCAAAATTAAATTTTTGGATCGATGGTAACAAATGCTGCTCTAAGATATCACGATAATAAAATCGGTCCATTGTATGGTCTAAAATACATAATTCACCAATTCCATTTTGCGTGAAACAACCTCAAACGGTAACAGAACCACCACCATGCTTGACCGTAGCCACAGTACAATGTGGATCGAATTCTTCCTTGGGTGTTCTCCATACCATTACTTTTCCATCAGACCCGAACAAATTAAATTTCGATTCATCGGACCAATGACAGTTTCCCAAAACCTTATCGGCTTGTTCAACATTGTTTTTGCGTATTTCAGTCGATTAACTCAATTGATTTTGTTGACTAATGGTTTCTTTCGTGCTACACGACCATAAAGTCCAGCTTCGTGAAGTCTATTTCGAATGGTATTGGCGTGTAATGATATACCTAGTTCGGTCTCGTACTATCAATCGATCCAATGTTTCGGTTGTTTTCCTTTTTCGACCACGTCCGAATAAATTACCAATACATTTCGTCTGTTTGTATTTCTTAATTATGTATTGTACTGTCTCTCGAGGAAGTAATGTCTTAGCAGCAATTTCTTGTTGAGAATCACCGTTTTGATAGTGCTGAATTACTAAAGCTTGAAGGTCATTACTATGTTCTTTCTTTTTAGGTGCCATTTTAGTGAATTATCATTTAGTGAAGAAATTCGCAAGTATTTATACTATGATTAGTGGTTCTAGATATAGCATCGACTCAATTCTATAACATTCTGAAAAAAACAAGAAAGTTCTAGAACTTTTTGGAAGTATTATTTTCTTTTCTTTTCTCTGGGCCAATAATTTTTGTACATAATATTTTAACAAACTTATACTGTTTTCTCAAAAAACAAGAACGAAAGTAATTGAAAAGCTTAAACTTGTTGTATATATACTAGTGATAACAGACGACACAATGATACTAATACTTAGTAATTCTCTCCTATAGTTCTTATATGCCAGCAAAAATAAAGTAGTTATGCAAAGGTGGGCCAATAATTTTTGGACTCACTGTATATACATATATATATACATATATATATATACATATATATATATATACATATATATATATACATATATGTATATATACATTAATATATACATAAGAAGAATAAAAAAAAACGAAGAATAATGAAAGAAAAGATTGCTGCCCCATCCCAAACCCTCAATTGATGTAGCAGCACTCTGCTGCGAGTCAGTATTTATCAGTCGATGTATGTACTGAAACCCCTGGCAGCAGGCTATTTCACTGTGACATCAGAATGCTCATCTAAACTAGCATTTAAAGTTTTATATATATATTAGTGATGTACTGATAGCACTTTTTTGCCCAATGCCGATGGATGGGAAAAGGCCTATACCGATGAATTAACTAATTATTAAAATTTTGAAAATTTATATGTGTATATATATATATATATATATATATATATATATATATATATATATATATATATATATATATATATATTGTAGGCTATACTTGAACACATATAGATAACAATGCTTAAATAGGTTACTTTTAAGTATAACAATAGAACAGCACAAAATAAAATTATTCTAAAAACAACATGGTAATAAAAGTATAAGTACATTCAGCTGTTAAATTAAAGCTTATAAACATCATCTTAAGAATAAACAAGTTTGCCTGTAAACAAAGTCAAAATAAAAATTTATCAAAAAAATTCTAAGTAAAGAGCAAATCTTTCACCTTTTGAACATCTTGCCAGGCCTTATTAAGAAGTGTTATCCTGCTCGCAATTTACCTGCAAAATGGTGATTTGCAATCACTATATTTATCATAATTCTGACAAATTTGGTTCATTTAAAATAAACTTTTATTTCCATTTTAATCAGTTTTAATAAGTTTGCAATTCATAAATTTACTGAATAAATTTACTGTGCTTCCTTGTAATTGCCTTGATTAAAAATATTTAAAAAATGTTTTTTTTTTTAAATTCACAAAAAGCATTTTAAGGGGTTTTGAAAAAGAGCTGTAGTAAATTATTAACTTTTTAAGTTTTTCACAATATATTGTTAATAAATAATAGTGTAAGTTTGTTATAAATTTTGTAACATAAACTAAAATTTTAAAATCAATATATATTAAATTAAATATATATTTTTTAACTATAGAAACATATTATAAAGATATAGATATTTCAATTTGTTAAGTATGATTTGGTAAGTTTTAAATGCTTAATTTAAAGTGGTATATAGTTATGATTTTCATGATATTAATAATAAGTTTTTAATTTGTTTTAAGTTGTTTTGAAAATTTTAAGAAATTTTTTTGAATTAGTGATAATATTGAGAATTAACACATTAAAATTTTAAACATTCAAAAAAAAATTTCTACGAAGGTGGTTTTAAACAAGATTTTAAAAGTTAATAAAAACTTTTTATTACAAGAATAATGTTTTGACTGTGTAAAATAAATGTGTTACACACACATTTAGATAGTGTTTATATAAACTAAATAATAAATTAAAAATCTAATTTAAAGGGATCTCAAAGAGAAAGTTTTCACAATATTAAAGAGAAAGTTTTAAAAAAATGTTTGGACTGAATTTTTTGGAGTACAACAAACTAATAAACGTATACTAACCAAAACTAATTTTGGTTTTAGTCAAAGTTCGCCTTCTTTATTTTAGTCAGAATTCTTTAAAGTATACGCACTTTTTTTGTTTTGATCTACAGATTTTTTATTCAAGTTTAGTTCTAAAGATTTTTATTTTAGTATAAAAATGACGTCATTAAAGGGACCAACAAGTCCCGAGACATGTTTTGTTCATATTAAAGAGAATGTTAAAAAAAAACGTCTGAGCAAATTTTTTTTTGATTAAAACTAATTAATAAATGTATACCAAGAAAAACAAATCTTGTTGTTTTAGTTGAAGCTTGTCTTTTCCATTTTCTGTGGTATTTAGAGTCTTTAAAATAATTGCGATTTTCCAGGCACATTATACAGACTAGATAATTTATTCAAGTGCGTTTAATTCATAATAGTTTTAGTACATAACGTCATTGGAAACATTTTAGAAAGTCTTTAAAAATTTTACTATTTAATTTTACTAAAATAGCTAACTGTAGATAGTTATTTTATTTTCTAAAATCTTCACATTGAAAAATATTTTATGTTTTTTTGTAGCTATCAGAGCTAATGCTACATGGGCCACAGCAATGGTGGACCTAGGGACCCCTATGGCGCATAATCAGGTTATATATCTCCGATGATTCACGAGTATGTTCTTTACATTTTAATGCAAGTTGTTTTGACAATACATTATAAAACATTTATTTTTGTAAACAAATGATAATAGCTTAAAAGATTTACAGCTTTGCAAATGTGGCTCCGAGAATGAGCCATAATATTAAAGTAATAGTTCATTTGATAATATATTCTTAAAACTATTTATGCTAGATATTTCAAAACGCAACAAATCGCTAAAACATTTCAACAGAATACTCTAGAACTTTATTTCGCTTAGTCAGCATATTTTTTGAGCCAATAGAATTAGTTTGTTCGTAAATTTGGCAGGTTTTTAGTGTTTACAAATATTCTTTTTATTCTTCCGCATAATGTTTTAGAAACATTCAAGTTTATTATGTTGACATGGATGTCCGTAAAACAAATTATTCTTGTAAAACAAATTATTCAAGCAAATCTTGGTATTTTTGTTACGAACATAAACTTAGATGTTCTCAAAACTACTTAAAATATATTATATTTTTAGTCATTTTGAGAATATTTAAGTTTATGTACGCCATTGGATGTTATAATAATGGAAATATAATATCATCTCAATAAATAATGGAAATATAAGATCATCTCAATACCAAAAATTACATTTTTCAAAATCAGAGAAAATATGTGTCTTTTTTTTTTTTAATATTTACAAAGTAAATTAATAAAAGTGCCTTATTATTTTAAGTTAAAAATTATTTTATCTAATATTTTGAAAGAAAGATTTATAACGCAATTATATGCAAATGTAATACTATTTTGTTTTTAATTTTTTTTACAAACACATTTTAGAACTTTAAAATATAATAAAAATAAATATGATTTGGAAAGTGTATGTAAAAAATAATAATCGGTGTTTTAAACAAACAAAAAAAATCTATGACGTCAAGTACTAAAACTTCTATGAATTAAATGCACTTGAATAAATTATCAAGTCTGGAAAATGCTCCTGGAAAATCGCGTTTATTTTAAAGACTCTAAATACTGCAGAAAATGGAGAACACAAGCTTTAACTAAAACAACAAGATTTGTTTTTCTTGGTATACATTTATTAATTAGTTTTAATCGAAAGAAATTTGCTCAGACGTTTTTTTTTAACATTCTCTTTAATATAAACACAACATGTCTCGGGACTTGGTGGTCCCTTTAAAGAAGTATTTTTATATAATATTAGTGTGTAGAAATATTCATATTTTTAACGCAAATTTTGCGAAATATGAAAATAAAGTTGCTAAACATATTGTTTAGAAATTTTTTAGGCAGAAAAAAAATTATAACAAATTTCTAGATTTCTTATGAAAATTCTACAATAATGTTATATACTAAAATTCTTTGGAATTTGCCTTATTATTATTTCTTTACGCAAAGCATTATGGTATTTGTAAGTACAGAAAAATCAAAAACTCTTAGTTCACTGTTTTCATTTAATTTGTGGTTTGCTCTCATCTGGATAATAGTTTTCTCTCATAATTTATTATATTTATGACAAAATTTTTTATCTCTGCAGGAGAATAACTACATTGTAATATAAACAAATATTTTAATGTAGTTTTAGTTGAATTTCCTCAGAGAAGCTTGTTTGAAGTATATTTTACAAGTATACATAAGTAAATGAATATATAATCAACTTTATAAATATTTCTGCTGGTTCTAGCTTTTTTAAAAGCTCTAGCAAAGTTCCAATAAATGCAACATTTTGTTTAATTACAAACAAGGAATTTAATAGTGATGAAAATGAAATAATCTCCAAAGATGTAACTTAATGGTCAAAAGACAGCATCTCTGTTTCCAATAACACATCAACATATATTGACTTATATAGTATCTGAGACAGTTTCAGTCGATAATTTTAAACAAAGAGCTGCTAGTTACAAAATAGCTGATTACCAGTTATTCAAAGAGAACCATGTAATCAAATATTTTATCATATAGAATTAAACAGAGGAGTAACAACGGCTGTCATAATTATTGGAAATAAGTTTCACCAAAATCATTTTATGAAGCATCTATTAACGAGAAAAAATGTTGGAAAATTTAAGCTTATTTATAATGGAATAATTTCTGCATCATCTGGACAATTTAATTGGAACTAATTTGATTCAAAAACAATTATAGCTTTGTCGCGAATCTCTTGCCAATCAATTTCAAAAAATCAAGTTAAATTAAAAACTAAAGATAAATCCAAAAAAAAAATGGCTTGAAGAACAAAATAAAAAACTCACTGCATCGAATTTTGGTACAGTTTTAACCGCAAAAATAATCCTCCTCCAACTTCATTGTTAAAAAAGAACTGTCCAAGTAGTTTACAATTACAAGTGGAGTATTGAAAATGAAGATATTGATTGCGAAAAGTTTAAAGAAAAAACTAGTTGTGATACTAAAAAATGTGACTTTCTAAATGTAACCTAAATGGCATGGCTAGGTTGTAGCCCTGATGGGTTGTGTATTAAGACAGGTACAAAATGATTGAAGTAAAGTGCCCTTTTACCAAAAAAATCTTTCTGTACCAGAAGCTTCTACCAATAAAAAATTTTGTATGGAACTAGCAGATGGTCAGCAAAAACTGAAAATCAAACAATTTTAAAATGTCAATGTATAATAGCTATTACAGAATCTATGAAAATATACACATATGAAGACTTTTTTGTGCAATTACAGAATCTACGAAAATATACACAAATGAAGACTTTTTGTGCAATTAAATTTGAGCAAGACAACTGGTTCAATCAGATTTTTAAATACATTTTGTTTTCAGTTTATGACTCAAAAAATATTTGTAAGTATGTATAAGTATGTAAAAATCATTATAATAAATTAATGTATTACTTTATTATATTCTATTTTATTCAATATTTTATTTATTGGGAAATGCGTAAAATAATAAATTTTTAACAGTACACAATATGTAAAACTCTCACTTCTTTATTTATATGTATACTTTTTGTTTTTTTTTGTTTAACAACATTGTTTGGTGCGCTTGTTATTATTTTTTCTTAGAAGTCTAATATAGTGCAAGATTTACTCCAATAATATAATTTTTTAAATTTGAAAAAAATTTAAATGGTGTGGTATAAAATACATATAAGTTTTATTATTATAATTTACCTTTTTGATATAAGTTTTATTATTATTATTATTATTTTATTAGTTCTTTCAGTATTAGAGCCGAAAAAAATTTAAATGGTATGGTATAAAATACATATAAGTTTTATTAAAACAATTTTAGTTCTTTCAGTATTTAACATTTTACTTAGCTTATTTTTGCTATTTACTTCTGTGTGCATACAAATACCAGAATGCATTGCATTTAAGGGGTTAAGGCGAATTAAACATGCTTGAATAAATTTATAAAGTCTGTAGATTGCGTTAAAAAAGCACATTTTAAAGCCTAAAATTTTGAGTAAAATGGAGAATGCCAGCTTGGACTAAAATTACAAAGTTTTTTTGGTTTATTATTTTGTTTTAATCAAAAAAATTCTTCACAAACATTTTTTTTAAATATACTTTTTAATATGAAAACAACTTGTCTTGGCAATTAATTTTGGATTATATTATTGGTATTCCAATTGATAAATGTAATTATTTATGTGTGTTTTTAAAAAAAATATTATGAAGATTTATAACAGAAACACTGAAAATGAAAAAACTATTGGTTAAAGTAGACTTAGGAAGACAAATGATAGCAATGATATTTATTGAATTTAAAAAAAAAAAAAAAAAACTTTTAAACAGTGCGACACATAAAATAATAAATAAGCTCTTGAAAATCAAATATCAGACATTAGAAAATTAAAGTTTATGTTTTTACACTGCACTGTGCGCCAGAATTGTCTAAAAATGGCAAAACTATTTATGGGTTAAATATAGACATATGATACATGTTTATTAAAATTTTTGGCGCCAAGGATTTCATTTTTAGGCTCCATTTTAATTTTGGAGTGGTCATGACCACACAAGTGGTTGTTTTAGGAGTTGTCATGGGTGGTCATGGGGCTTCTTGATGGTTTTTAAATTTGGTGGGACATATCTAAGTATAGATAACTGCTGTCAGGGAATTCAAATCTGGGCATATTCAGTCTTTAGAAGTGGTCATGACCGCTCAAATGGTCATTTTAGTGGTGGTAAAGGGTGGTACTGTGATATCTCAATGTTTTTTTAATAAGATGAGACATAATGTATGTCTAAATATAGGTAATTGTAGTCAGGGAATTTGAAACTGTGCATATTCGCTCTTAAGGAGTGGTCATAACTGCTCAGGTGATCATTTTAAGGGTGGTCAAGGGTGGTCCTGGAATATCCTGATGGTTTTTCAATTAGATGGTGCGTGTTGTATGTCTAAATATAGGTAAATAATATCAGGAAAATCAAACAGAGAATTTCATTGTGCTCTCTGTTGTTTTAGTCTAAAAAAATAATATTAGGGTGCATGAAATGACTGTTTTTCACAATTAAATTACTGTTTTTCCATTTTATGTGTGTTATTTAAATGAACAAAATGCATTTGACACATTTAAAGTACAATTTTCTAGATGAAAACATTTTAGAAAAGTTATTTAGACGACATTAAAACTAAAAGTACTAGATGATGTAGTTTTCTTGCTTTCAACACAACGAGAAATTAAAAAACTTTTTTACTCATAAACAAGCTAATTTAATTCTTTACTAAACTAAATTCTTTTTACACAAATAAAAACTTTTTTTTTGGTGTTTGAAATGGCTAACTTCCAGACATGGACCCAACTCCAAATATTTGTATATTTATACTTATGTCAAATAATGATGCTTTTCAAAAAATTGTGATGGTTAGAGGCTAGGAACAAATAAGCCCCAAAATTTCGTCAAACTATGTATTTGAAAAATAAAATATTGCCATTTTTGTGGTAAAATTGATAAACTGAGCTCAAAAATCACAGTAGGGAAAAATTATATTAGTTTTAGAGTGCTGAGGGTCTCTAGATTACATTTACAAAAAGAAATTACTCCAATTTAAAAGTTGGTTTTAAAGAATTTTGCTAACCTCTGGCTCACTGCGCTGCTGGAAAACAAATTTTAATTTAGTGACAAAAGACAGTCTTCAAATCAAAAGAATTGAGGAAAAAGTTGAAGTCAATTGATTGATGGTGATCATATTCCATACTAGCTTTAATAACAAAATAGTAAAAAGATGATAAGTCTTTTTTTTATTCATAATTTTCCTTATAAAAAATTTTTTGTTTTGTTTTGAAAAACTGAAGTTAATAAAGTTGCCTGATTTTATTATAATGCAAAATTTATTTTGAAATTGTTTTTTTTTTTATAAAAGTTGTGTTTTACATTTTTTATTTTAACTTTAAATTTAAAGTCTAAATTTTTGATTAGCCTTGTAAGCCTGATAAGAATTATCAGGCCTACAAGGCTAAAAAGAAAGGTAGGGTTAGGTGCCATCATTTGTTCATACATTGGCTGAGGAGCAGTATAAGGTATATACTGTATATATAGTCCTGGTCATGACATTAAAGTGAAGGTAACTCTTATATAGAGGTAAATGTAGCTTCTAAGCGGCAGTCTAGACAAATTTTTAGGGAGAGGAAAACTTGGATATAAGACTCATCAGTAAGTTGTGGGCCAGGATTTGAGGTGCTCATAAACATTGGATGGTTTCTTTCTAGTTGTAATATAAAAATACTCAGTTCTGATTTGCAAAAAAGAGCCAGGAATGGTAACCAGTTGTAAAATTACTTTATTCATAATGTCATATTCAAATAAGAAAATAGGATTGTGAAACCTCGCCTAAAAGACACTAGTATGAAAATAGGCGTTAAACTAGAAAAAAATTATTTAAAAAAAGTAGAAATACATAGAAATATAAAAGAATTATAGAAAAATACATGGACTGACAGTTTTGAGTGGAATAGAAGAAAAAAATACACAGACTGGCAGGTTTAAGTAGGATAGAAAAAAAAATACATAGACTGGCAGGTTTAAGTGGGATAGGGTATGGATATATCTTTTTATTTTATTTTTTACATTTAACAAATATCCATCTTAATCATTTATAATTGAATAAAATTTGAGAAAAAAAATTGGTTTTGACAATGACCCCTATAAAAGTAAAGCATCAAATAAAAAGATAATTTGAAATAAATTGCTTTTTAATATGTTCGATTCTATACAGTAATACCAAAAAATAGATACTACATTTTTTTGTAGTATCTATTTTTCATCGTTTGTTCAATTCTATAATTTCAAGCGTTAGCCGTTACATTATTAGATCTATAAGTGTTTGAAATCAATTCAAATTTTGCATCTAATAATTTTTTAAGCTAAAAGATCAAGATTTAATATTACAATATATGCGTGGTTATGAAATATTTCAATATTTGTGTGGTTATAAAACACATTTATTTGTGTGGTTATAAAATACATTTGTATTTAAATTACATTTGTGTGGTTATAAATACATTTATTTGTGTGGTTATGAAATACTTCAATATTCGTGTGGCTATGAAATACTTCAATATTTGTGGATGTTTTGAAATGTTTATGTTGTGATTCTGTTGTTATAGTTTTTTTTTTATCCAATGTCATCAAAATAAATATTCATAGATATTATGATTATTCATAGATAATCATAAATTTGCGTTTTTGTAGTATACATGACATGGTTTACAAATAAGAAAAATATTTGTTAAGCCTGTGTAAGTAATGTTTAATTTGCCGTGATTTGGGAAAACAAATATATACTCTATATTTTACATAAATGATGCGACCATAATTTAACAGCATAGTCATTAGGGGCTTCCGGGAGTAATAAAAATTTTGCTAATACTTTCTATAATATTTTTTTTATTAAAGCATTACATCATGTAACAGCTTTTAATTATGCATAAAATAATCACAAAAATTAATTTTATTTATATAATTATGCATAAAATAAGCACAACACACCTTGTTTTTAAACTCATATCTAGTTTATTTTCTAGCAAATACACTTTGTAAAAACAAAAAAACGTTTATGCAGCTGTATTTTTACAAGTCTTTGATCTACTTTTTATTTTCTGCATTTACCTTCCCTTAGCCACTACTAAAATAACTTATTCTTTTCTTCTTTTAGTTCATTATATCGTTACTTCTCGATAACCCAGTTTATTATATCGTTACTTCTCGATAACCCAGTTCATTATATCGTTACTTCTCGATAACCCAGTTCATTATATCGTTACTTCTGGATAACCCTAAGTACATAAAACATTTTACATTTTATCAGACAGTTTACAATAAAGCTTGCATTGCCTTTATTTACATTATACAAAAGGTTTGAAAAAACTGAAATTTCTAAAAATAAACATTCTTTTCCCTCTGCAATTTAAAACAGTTTTGTTGTTGTGATTTAAAATAGTTTTATTTTAATGTAAATGTAAATGTGAAAAAATTTTTGTTTTTTTATGTTATCTGTTGTCATAAATTTACTAATTTTGCTTAAGTAGATCACCATATTTTTGCTGTTTTCCACAAGATTAATTATAATTCTTTTATTTTCTTGTATTATATTTATTTTTAGGGGGAAGAGAGTTTTATTGGAGACGAGTTAGTTTACGGAGGCTGTAAAGGAGAACAGAAAAATTCAGTCGATTATAGAGAGTGTCGCTATTTTAAGAATGACGATGCTTGTTGCCGATATTATTTCATTACTATCTGCTACGGACCTTATATTGAGGAAGTACTTCAAGAGTTAAGTCAGGAGCCAACAGACATAATAGTTATGAACTCATGCTTATGGGATGTTCACAGACACGGTAAGGCAGGCGTTGAAAAATACGAAGAAAACTTAGAAAAGTTAGTTTCTGCATTGCAAAGACTTATTCCAGACTGCCTTTTTATTTGGGTTACTACACCACCTGTTCATATAAAATCAAAAGGTGGTTTTCTTATGCAACCTGGAACTGACTTAGTTAAAATAAATGAAGTTCGTTATTGCAATGAGATTGCACGAGAAGTGTTCCGTGAGGCAAATGAAATTGATAGTCGTTTTCGGATTGTGGACTTAGACTATGTTTTTAGACATTTTGAGCATCATCGTGCCTCAGATGGCGTTCATTGGAATGCAAGAGCACATAGACGTATGAGTAATATGATATTAGAGGAAGTTTCAAAAGCTTTCAGCAAGGAGGTCCCTAGAGTTTTAGGTGGATGGGATGTGCAACCTTATTCTATTCCGTACGAATCTTGGGAAAGTCGTCTTGCAAAAAACTGGGGATCGGCTCCTTTTGAATATGATATATCCCATCCAAGTAACTGGGATTTTATGTCTGGACTTGATTTTCCACCTGGGACACATATGAATCCTCCAGAAGGTTTTCCACCGTTTCATAACCCTCACTCTGTTCCACCATTTGGGACTCCACCTTTTATTGACGATCCAAGTGGATTGTTAAGAAACTTGCCTTTTTATGATTTAGATGATCTTGGTCATGCTCGACAACAAGTTGAGTATCAATCAGAAAGCCGAAAACGTAAACGTCAAGAAGATTCTGAAACGGATGTTGTTCCTGAAAAACAATATCGTTTTGGTTTTACGAACTCGCATATTCCTGTGAAAGGCAAAATAAATCAGAATGGCGAGCAGTCTCCTAAGTTTTCCATCATCGAGGTTGACGGCAAAATGAAAAAACTTGTTCAGATAGACGATGACACTGTAATACACGTTATGTTTACAGATAAAGAAAAAGAGGAATACCTAAAAGATCAAGCTAAGAAACTCGAACAAGAACGAATAGCCAAAGAGAAAAAAGAGCAGGAAGTTGCGTGGTTAAAAGAACAAGATCAAAAAGAAATCGATAGTGTTTCGGGTATCGATAATGATTGTTTTCAAAACCAAACGAAAAAAATCAAAATGGATTTTAATGAAGAAGTTTCAGCAAAAATTTCGGCATTAGCAAATTTTTTCCTAGAACGCTATTTTAAAAACTCAGTCAAAACGAATATTTTTAATATCGTTCCTCCGTTGACCGTGTTAGCTGCTCAAGTTTTATTAAAATTGCATTTTTGTAAATCAAATCACAGTATTACTGGCCATACTTTGCAAAATCATAATCAGCGAGAATTAAACTGCAATGGATCACAAAATTATGTTACATCAGCTAGCAATTACTCATCTACTCCTCAGCAGAGAGATATACCAAAAACTAAGGTAGATACTAAGGCATTACTAGCTATGCCTTCTCCATTTGCTAAATCAAGAGTAAATAGTAATAGCACAGAAAGAAAAAATATAGAATTGTCTAATGAACCAGCTTGTAAATATAGTTTCAATGAACCCAAGGTTATAAAAGAATCTGAGATTTTAGTTAAAAATGAGGAGTTAAAAGAAACTGAAGTGTTAACTAGAAACGAGTCTTTAAAAGAATCTTATGTATTACCTGAAACTGAAACATATTTGAACGTAAAAACGGAAGATTTTGTACCTGAAAACGAAAATAATTCTGTCGAAAGTTCGGTAACGAACTTCGTGGAAAGTTTATCTCCAAAAAAAGAAGTTGAAAATTTACCTGAATGTCCAGCAAGTAACGTCTTAAGTACACCTAATAAAGTAGATACTTTCATTACAGCATCGGATAGTTCTGAAATATGCTCTAAATTATCTGAAACCACTTCTTTGACAGTTAGTAATGTCGTCTCGTCCACATTGGATTCGGAAGTTGACTGTTCAGAAATAGACATTTCACGTCCTAAAAAGAAAAAAGATAGGAATCCCAACGAAACGAAAGAAGAAAGACGTTTGCGAAAAAAGTTAAGGAGAGAAAGAAGAGAGGAACGTAAACGTTTAAAGGAAAGTAATGAATTGTCTCAATCGCAGATACCTCCAGTTGTCCAAACTGAAGCTATGTGGGATCTTTCTTTAAGTGAAAACCTGATTAGCAGACAGCGAAGTTCCACTTGGGGACCAAATTACATGTCTTTATTTAGTCAGTCTACAAGTTTACCATATAGTCAAACTGTAAACAATCAAGCGATATATTATCAGCAGACTATTCAGCATAGCTCTCATCAGCATGTTACCATAGATCAACATGAATTATATAAACAACAATTAGAACAACAGCAGCAACGCCTCGCTATTGCGCAAAGACAAGCTCAACAGCAAGCTTTGTTATTGCAGCAACGCCAACAACAAGAGGCTGCTTATCAAAAAGCGCTCGGTAATAACATTGTTCAACCCTCCGTTCCTCAACCACAACTGTATATAGACGAATACGGACAAACATATACTTTAGAAGAAGAAACTTTCATTATGGGACCTTCGGGTCAAATTCAAAGCTTAAATAGTTCATACATACAACAGCAAATGCAGGGGGCACAGTCACCATTAATAAATCCCTCTTTGTTATATTTGCAACAGTCATCAAAATTTTTATAAATATAAAAAAAAGAGGGTATTAAATTTATTTTTCTCGCTTTTCTTTTGAATAATTTTCTTATGTTGCAACAAGTTTAAGTCCTTACGGGAATGATGTCGCTGCAGTGCTGTTTGTGGTCAATACAATTGTTTGCGTATTTTATATATATTGTTGTTTTTGTCGTTTACCGAATGTTTTTTATATAGAAAAATATTGTTTGTAAATATTTTGTAAATATGTGGTACGATATTTCTTTTCAAAAAAAAAAAGTATATATATGATCGTTTTCAGCAATAAAATTTGCATTTTAAAAGGATGTTAGTTTCCAATCAAATAAGTTATTTAGTTTGTTTGTTTGTTTTCTTTTTTTCATTATTAATATTATCAATCTAAATTTTCTTTATGTTAAAAAAGGGCTCATAATTTGTGGTTCTTTTTTAACGTAAGTTATTATTTATATAAAAAAAGACAATAACATACAACAATCCATTAAAAAGATACACAAGTATAAATTATTCGCTTCTATAAAAAATTTCAGATCCCTTCAGAAATTTTTATTCTCCGAAAAATTTGTACGCTTGTGCCTAACACCAAGCTCTGTTTTTTATTTTTGGTCTGCATGGCTTACTTGAAAATTATTTAGAAAGAAAAAACAGATATAACAAAAAAGTTATCCGAATAGTGTACAAACATTGTAATTTTAGCTTTTAGCCTTCTGAACTAAAATCATTCAATAATAATTCAATTTGGGAAAATAACAAAATATATAAATATTTATATGACCTGAACAAAAAAAGACAATAGGCTAAGGCCCGTGTTTTTATCACAAAACCCCGTACTTATGGTGTGTATTTGCATAACATAATGACGGGGTATTATCATAAACTTTGCAAACTACAACTTAAAAACTAAAATATTCCATTTCTTTATTTAGTTTTTAATAGTAGCAATATAAAACTCAACTTGATGCCTTTTGTAAGGGGCAAGAAATCCTTACGCATTTTTCATATTATAATATTAAAGTTCACTGTTGGCTAGAAAGACCGCCAGGTTTTATCGGGTGTCACTAGATTGAAACCATTTTAATTGACCTTATTATTTTTTTCATGCAATGCATTGTGGTATTTGTATGCACCAAAAATTATAAACTTAGATAATTCGTAGGTGATATTATTCATAAAAGTAATAGTTTTGTTTTTGTTTGAAGTATTAAAAGTTAAAAGAATATAAAATAAACACTGAAAATATTTCTGTTGGTTCAAGCTTTTTTAAAAGCTCTCGCACGGTTCCACTGCATGCAACATTTCGTGTAATTACTAACGTAGAATTTAATAGTGATGATAACGCAATAATCTCTAAAGAAGTAACTGAATGGTCAAGAGACAACATTTCTTCCTCCGATAACGCATCAACATATTATTACCTATATGATATCAGAGACATTAGCAGTCGATAATTTAGAACGAAGAGCTACTAAACATAAAATAGCAGGTTATCAGTTATTCAAAGAAAAATATGTTAAAAAAATTAGAGTTAAGCCAAATATTCCAATTGATAAACTTTTATTTTTGGTAATTGAAAAAAATTCAATACGAAATATATGTACATATTTGTCAAAATACTGGATATGTATGCTGCAAAATGCAATTGTAAATGTGGTGCAGGTGGGTGCTGTAAACATGTAGCTGCAACCTTATATCAACTTATTGAGTATAAGCAACTCAATTTAAAAAGTGTACCTGAAGAAAAAGCATGCACTGATGTGTTACAAAAATGACACATACCTGGTGAATTAGCTAAGAACTGTGAAGCTGTTTTATTTTCCGATCTAATATTTGAGAAAGCAGATGCTAACAAAGATATTAATAATTTACGATGTCGTCCTCTTGTTAGTGGAAAGCTAAGTTTTTGTGCTACACTATTGTATGGAAAAAATATAACACTTGAAAAACTGCAAAAATTCACTGAAAACCTTATTAAATTAAACCAAGGAGTGAATATGGCTGAGTTAATTATTGGGAATAATTTTGAACAGAGTAACTTTTATGAGACATCCATTAACGAGCTAGCCCCTGAAAATGAAAAATATGTTGAAAATGTAAGGGTAGTTATAATGGATAAATTTCTACGTCGTCTGGATCATTCACTTGAAATTAATTTGACTGAGGAAAATTATAGCTTTGTCAAAAATCACTTACCAATCGATGTTGCAAAAATGATTCAAATTGAATCAGAAACTGTAGATCAATCAAAAAACAAAAAATGGTTTGAAGAAAGAAAAGAGACTTAAGGCATCAAATTTTGGTACAGTTGTAAACCGTAGAAAAAATATTCATCCAACTTCTTTGTTAAAAAGTCTTATAAGTAACCGTGATAGTAGTTTGCAATCTCAAGCCTGTCGTTGGGGTAATGAAAATGAAGATATCGGTCTTGAAAAGTATAAAGAAAAATATAACTGTAATATTATAAAATGTGGCCTCGTTATAAACCCTAAATGGCCATGGCTAGGTTGTAGCCCTGATGGATTGTGTATTAATAATGACAGCTATAAAATGATTGAAAATAAAGTGCCCTTTTTCGAAAAGACATCTTTCTGTTCGCGAAGCTTGTAACGATAAAACCTTTTGTATGGAACTTGTAAATGATCAGCCAAAACTCAAAATCAAACACTGTTACTTTTACCAATGTCAAGGTATAATAGCTATAACAGAAACAAACGAAATAGATTTTATTTTTTACACAAATTAAGACTTTTTTGTCCAATCAATTAAATTTGAACATAAAAACTGGTTCAACAAGATTTTGCCATGTTTAAATTTTTTCAGTTTATGACTAAAAAAATATTTGAAAGTATATAAATATTAAAAAATAATTATGAGAAATCAATATTTTATTTTATTCTTCAATAATTTCTTTGTCAGCAATTAATGGTGGCAAAAAGTTGACTAGGTAGCAACTTATTACCCAAATTTTATTAAGTTGAGCAGCCATTGTGATAGGGAAAACTGTTTGCAATAGTCTATAATTTTTTATTCTTGCTATAGCTTGCTCTACGTGTACCCTAAGAAAAGCAATCCTTCTAGTTTCAACTTCTTCTGGGTGTGATAGTCGAGGTTTTCCATTAAGAAAGGGGAGTATGTTAAGGGAAACATTTTCAGGCAAGAAGTAATCGATTTTAAAACCGCGATCAGCCATAATAAAGTCACCTGGTTTTACAAGAGACACTAAATTAGAATATTTTGTAATTTTGTAATCAGTAGACCTACCAGTATACAAATCTGACACAAATGTAACAGCACCTGCTGGTGAAATTCCAACTAATCCTTTTGCGGTGTTGTGGTGTTTATATGATGAAAACAGAGCTGATTGACTTCTATAAGACGTAGGCATTTCTATAAAAATCTCTGTACAGTCTATTATAACCCTTGTTGAGGGGTAAAGTTTTTTAAAACAACTAGGCATGGTATCATCTACATTTTTTCTAGATGCCCATATAGGCAATGCTCTTAGTTGTGAATGCAAAAAATCAATCCACGTTATTAATATTCGGCTAACATGACTAGTCGATAACTTAAAACGAACCCCTAGATCTTTAATAGGAAATGCACATTTCAAACGAATTAGGACCATAAAAAACTCTTCCTCAAGTGTTAAGGCTCTTTTTCGTCCTCTCTTTTTTACTTTTGATTCAGTTTCTTTATCCGCAGTTGTGTTTGAGTCATAATATATTAGAGCTGTAGGCTGAAGATATTCAAACACAACTTTAAATAGTTCATAGCTTTCAAACCCTGTCTAAAACTTGAAATGTGCAGTGTTGTGCTTAAATCAATCAATTGTAAAGCTAATATCTGAAATTTTGCAAAGAACTTATTTCAATTCTATCTAAGTGTTTAGATTCATAAATGAGACAAAAGAGTAAAGTTGAGGGGGTCGTAACCCATTTAAGCACTGTTAAATGCATGTTACGAAAAAATTTTATATTATTCAAGAATATTTTTATAATGAAAATAGAAAAGAGCGTTTATAAAAATGATAAGGGTCTTAAATGGGTCAAAGAACAAAATAAGGAAGCCTGACTATCTAAGCATTAATGATGCCCAATACAAAAAAAAAAAAAAAAAATTCAGATAATTTATAACAAAATTTAAAACAAAACTATTTACAATATTAATGTATAAGGACCGGCGAAGTCGAAATATGATCTAAATTCGACTTTTTAAGACTCGAATTTAAATGAAAGCCGAACTTAGATCATAAACGTATACCGAATTTAACTGAAAGACGAATTCAGACCTCTAAACCAAATGTAACTAAAAGCGGAATTTGGATTTTAAAAAACACATTTAATTAAAATAGAAATTTTTTAAGAACTTTTATAAGTTTTGATAAAATTTTTGTTTTTTTCTTTAAAAAAATGCGCTAAGAAGACCTAATGGTCTTGCCTCGGAGTACATCAGAAAAGTATTAAACTAGCAAACTTAAATCTCCTTCCTTACCGATAGCGCAAAATATTCCCAGAGCTCTGCTTTTAAGTTTTTAGTCAAGGATGCTACTTCTTATAATGGTTACAACCCTCTCTCAACTCTTTAACTCCGAAACTTTTAATCCTTAAATGATTAAAAAAAAACACCATTCTTTTAAAGCGGCATTGAAATTAATTTCGAAGCAAGAAAAAAACTTATTTTGTAGCAACAAAATCGTAAAATATATGAAGTACATCAGAATAATGGAGAACTATTTTTCGAGCAAACCATATTTTGACCGTTGTCAAGACAAAAATAAAGATTTATAGAAAAATATTCAAAAGTATACTAATACGATGACAAAAGTACAATGCATCCAAACAATACTTACAATAATAAAATTTTTTACAAACACTTAAAATAAACAATGATAAACAGAAAATATATCACCAAACAAAAACTTACAAAACAAAATATTTATTACAAAATAAAAAGTATGCATAGAACATTTTAAGGCCTAAGAATGAAAAAAAAACATAGATGCTATTGTGTAAACACAGTTTGTGTAGTGATTAAGTAATAAAAACCTCCACAGTTTCACGTCTATTATTACTGGCGTTTCGATTAGGATCAGGACGAGTAACTAGTTTATCCCGTCAGATATGAGTCATCGCCACTGCTTTATCCCTGCAACTTTATTCTAGCTTACACAATCCAAATTTAAAACTTTTTTAAAAAACTAAAATAAAATTATCTATTAATTAAGATAATATCTGTTTTCAATTTTTTTTTAATTAACTTTTTTTTTTGGTGATAAGAATAATTCAAATGAAGTTAACCATCTTAACTTTATTTGAATTATTCTTTTAAAACAAAAACATTTTAAAATATTTACAATACTAATGTATATATGATACACAATCCAACAAAAATCGAATTATTCTTTATTCTGCTCAAAAGCAGCATGTAAAAGAAATTAGTAAACTAAACTCTTCTTCTATTAATAGAAAAAGAGTTTAATTTAGTGTTTTCTTTTACATGCTTACGTGTAGATTTTAAGGTGTTTAGGAGTATATTTAAGATCGAGAGCAGCTCGGTAGTTACCGTAAGATTGGATGGCTTTAGCCCATTTTGCATCTTAATGTCTATTGCATGAAAGCCACAAAAGTTATTTCCTCAAACACTAAGTACTTTTAGAAGTGCATAGAAAGGACAGTTAAAACTATCTGTCTCCCATTTGAAAATTATTTACCTGAGGTACCTTTTGGGTGGTTCACCCTAACACATTGGGCCAAAGTCGCCCTATGTGTTAGGGTGACTTTGGCCCAACTCCGTAAAAAGGAACTAAAGGAAGCAAAACAACAATAAAAACAACAATATTTAGGCAAAGAAAATAAATTTACAAAAATAAAGTGACAAAAAAAGATTTAGTAACAAAGTTCTTGTATACAGTAAATAAAATATAGCTACAAACTAAACAAGTATAGGTACCAAGTAAACAAAATAGTTTAGGTATAAAGTAAACAAAAATGACAATATTAATGTTTTAAAAAATTTAGTGAAAAAGTTCTGGAACTAAATAAATTCCTCTTTTCGAATTTTTTTTGGTTCCTCAATAAAATCGACTATTTCAGACTGGGGAAAAAAAAGTTGCTCTGCTGGTAGTGACCATTTCCAGTTAAGTCCATTTTTTTTCATAATAGTAATTTCTGCTCCGTTTTTTCTTAATTTTTTCAACTGCAGAAAAAAAAATTTCGAAAGTTTTTTTAAAATTTTTCAGTAGTTTCATGAAATAATAAAATATTAGTTATTAAATTAATTAGTTATAAAGTATACTAATTGATTAGCTAAATATAAATAACTCAAAATAAATAAACAAACCTGTCCAGGATTTAACTCTCCATTGCATTTAACAATTACATAACAATTCTTACAAGATTTAATAGTTTCTCCTTTTTACAAACATTTTTTGTTTTAACAATATTTTGAAAGTTCTTTTTGCCTAATGCTGAATGATCTAAACTTACATCTGCAAAAATTAGATTAGAAATCTCAGTAGTTCCAGTATTTGTACTTGGGCCAGCAAAGTCAATGTTGTTGGTCTCAATTGTATTTATAATACTGATAGGTGTATCTACATTATTTGAATTTAATCTATTATTTTCATTTATAACACAAGATGATATATCTGTTGAACATAAGCTTTTACCTGGGACAGCGCATACTTTACGTGGGTTTGGTTTTTTAGAACCTTTTGAGGGATCATCCAGTGACTTACATAAATGATCTAAAAATGATTGGCTTACTAAAATCAGTAGTTGAACCTAAACCTACATTACAACATGGTAGTCGTGAAAGCACTTGAGGCTTGTCTAATGGAAAAATTCCAGTTTGCGAAAACCAGCTCTAAGGTTATCAATCCCATGTTCATTTATGTTGGTAATTAAACGGTCTAAAAGTCTAGGAAATTCATCTTTAGGAAAAGAAGCAACTCTCCTTCCTTTTCCTTTGTCCTTCCATTCACATAACATCTTGCGCCAGTTAATCTTCATAGGTCTAAAGTAGGCAACATCTAATGGCTGTATGAGATGTGTAGAGTTTGCTGGTAATGCCACAAATCCTATGTTATTGCTTTGACATGCATCCAGTACTGCAATGCTCAAATGTAAAGATAATTATTACCTATAATGACACTTCTACCTTGATCCTTCGTCTTGGAAGAAGTAAGTCTTGAAGTAAGAAGAAAGTCTTGGAAGAAGTAAAGAGAAAAACCGATCCTCAAAACATGTTGAGTCAAACCAACCATTTTTTGATCTGTTATAACGTGCTTTTGGTGGTCCATGTTCCATCGATGTATTCCATAACGATTCAACTTTGTAAACAACATAAGGTGGCAACAATTCACCATTAGCATTGCATCAAAACATTACAGAGAATGAGGTTTTTGTAGAATTAATGATGTGTTCAGGATACTTACATCCACGCTTTGTTAATTTTTTTTTTTTTACCTGGATCATCACTGAGATTACCTGGATCATCACTTCATCATAATTCCATAGATTATCAGGTGATATATTACTTATTTCATTTGATAGATTTCTAAAGTAGTTATCAATCACAATCGTTCCTATTTCTGCTCTCTTTTGCTTTATGTTGCTTTTAAATCTTACTGTGAGTTCTGGATTTCTTTTTAAAAAAGATCGAATCCAATTGCCACATGTAAAATTATTTTTGAACTGAGGTATAATTACACCTTTTTTCTCTAAATACCCTTTTACTATGCATCTGAAATCATATTTATCAACAGGAAAATCAAACTCAGACGATTTTAATGCATATGCCTTAAATATGTTTTCTTCTTTTGATGTAAATATTTGCTGACCACCATATTTTTTAGGATATGTCTGTTTTATTTTATTTTTTAATGTTGATCTTGGTATATCATAATCAAAGCTGCTTGTCTTTGAGTAATTAAACCATTCTTTAAATCTTTTAATGCATTGTTTAACTGTTCTAAAGTATAAGTAACATATTTTCTTCTTCCACGATTTGGCTTGTAATTTTGTGGCATATTTAAACTAAGAACTAAACAAATTTCACTATAATTTTATACTGATTTATTAATATAAACTGTTAAACTGATTTTCTATTGCATTACTACAACAAAATTTTTCATTCCAACATAGTAACTACCATAATATCTATAAATGATCACTAAAAAAGGTTTACTCCAATACATGGGGTGACTTTAGCCCGGGTCAATGTCACCCTATGTAGTAGGCCAATGACAACCTATTTTTTTATAACCTCATTTACAAAAAAGTAATAAACTGTTAAGCTTTCAAAATAAGATAGAATCAAACACTAATGGTTTATAATTAATTCAGTGTATATTCCAATAAAAAACCTTCTACGGGTACTGCTATCGATGTAAAAGTTTACACACCTAAAAAAATTCGGATTTTTGGTGCCTCTTCTAAAGTGCACTTTACAATAATATCACAAAGACTCGAGTTAAGTAAACTAAGTTAGACTAAATAAATAATAAATTTCCCACAATTTGCTACTAAACATCAACCGGTATACCTTGAGGTATAGATTTTAAACCATTTTTAAACAAAAATTTTGCTTGTGCTAAAGTCATCCCATAGGGCCAAAGCCACTCCATTATACGCTACTTTTGGTATATTAAAAGTAACAACTGAGTTGCTCTCGATCTTAAATATACTCCTCTACGCCTTAAAATCTACACGTTTAAATTCTAAACGTTTAATACTTTAAAATCTACACGTTTTAATTTTTTTTTTTTTTAATTTAAAATCGTAAAAGATTCTTGTTTTTGTCAAATTCTTGGAGCTGAGTATTAAAAAACTTTCTATCTACCCAAAATTCCTATCATCCAAGATTCCTATCATCCAAGATTCCTATCATCCAAGATTCCTATCATCCAAGATTCCTATCATCCAAGATTCCTATCATCCAAGTTTTCTAAACAGTTAACAGTCAGCTCCATTTTTTTTTTTTTTTTTTTTTCTGTTTAAACGCAAAAAAAAGTTTTTTTTTTTTACGTTTTTAAGTTTGAAAATAAATATTTGTTTTCAATAGTTTTGCATTTCTTTTATAAATATAAATTACATATGACATTTGTTAAAAAAATCTTTTTCTGATGTAGAAATACTATTTATAGATTACACAAAAACGGCTTTTTATCAACACCAATTGGCGATTTTATCCATTGAATCGCCTGTTGTGCAGTGACAAAGTAAACGTCGTTTAACTTTCGGACATCATTCATAAACCTTATGACAGCTAAAATAAAAATAATTTTTTTTTTCATTAGCTAGAATAAATGAGATAAATTGAAAAATTGATCAGTCGTAATGAACATACCATCTTTCCTATAAGCTGCATTATTGAACCAAGAAGAATGGCTGAACATTGGGAAAGGTTGCTTATTATCCTCGTAGTGAAGCCTAAAGTTGGTCATTAACATGTTATACGTGCTTTCTTCAGTTTCTAAATTTGTACACTCATCGAGCATAGTAGCAAACGTGGTAGCTGATTCGTCGCATTGCAATGCAACCAATGGGATTTCCCATATTCCAGGATACGCAACTAAATGATAAGATAAGAATTATAAGAATTAAATGCTTTGATATACGATTACTCGAATAAAAATTAATATTGAATAACTCAATAAAAGTAACACTATAGCATTTATAAAATTGCTACATGTTGGGCAGTTAGCCATGTAGCACGGCAAAGAAGGTAAGTAATCCAATGTATATGGCCACCACCGTGTACCCGGATTGGTTCCTAACGAACTGTCATACAAAAACTGATTTTCAGTTAACACTTTAAATGTATTTTCTTGGCTTGCAAGAAATGGCGTTCTCCATCCAAGTGTGGTAATTCCAACTTCTTGCTGAATAGTATTTTTTTGCGTTAAAATTTCCATTTGCAGGTCTTCTAAAGCGGCCTTAAAATAAAATAAAAAAAAACTTGCCGATAAATAACTTTTTCAAAATTTAAGGTTTTGTTTGTTAACAGTTTATTAAAAATTCAAAATTAAATTAAATGTCTTGATCTACTAATGATTATGTATTTCACGAAAAAAGAGGAAAATTACTGTATTTATGGAACTTACTGTTTTACTCCACCATTCTTCTGGTAATCTGTGAGTTGCCGAATGATCTGCTATCTCATGGCCTATAAAATAAAAGAGTATCCTTTAATATAACATTGTTTTTGTGCATTAAAAAAAGAAGAAAAAAGTGCAGAATGTAACACTCAAATAAGAGTTAATTTAAATTGAAGTTTATATTAAAACAAATTAGAGCGGTATGAAAAGCTCTCGCTTAAAGACGACGATGTCATATAAATACGGCGGTTAAACAAGAACATTATAAAGTAAGAAAATTTTTAAAATGTAACTTTATACAAAAATAATGTTACAATAAAACATTACTTATTGTTTGCAGGTACCTTCCCTTATCATTCATAAAAAGTTTACTTTGGTTTCAAAAATTTTAACGTCAAAAAAACTCAAGAACTATCAAATCGTAGAACTTAAATTCAAAACTACAAAGTTTACTTACCGCTTTGCTGTAATTTTTTAACGTAAGCGTAGTCGGAATTATCGCCAGATACAAAAAACGTTGCTTTTATCGGACAACCATTAAAGTTAGTTGAGCCATTAAGTAACTCATTGTAAAGCTGATAGTTTTCTGGAGTAACACCGTCATCCATGGTTAATAGGATCATTTGTGGAGTGTTTACTTTTAATAATCCGCCAGGTATATCTGCTCCTGCGCATCGGCATGACGGTAAAAGACAGTTGACGACATTGCAAGTTAATTCAGATTGAAGTGACTCAATAAATTTGGTTCGAGTTGAGTCTGTAAAAATTTGCGCTATCGTGGCTTCATTTGACGAAAAGTGTGACTGAATAGTTGTAATTGAAAACATTTCCGTTGAATGATTTTCTGGAAGTGTTGTTTTTGTAACACTAAGTGTTGTAGGGATTGGTCCTTGAACGATTGATGATTCGTTTAAGTTATTTTCAGCTGAAGAATTGCGCTCAAGTAAAGCTATGAAGTAAATATTTAAAGGTTACATATATTATATTTATAAACTTTGAACTCTAAACAAATGTAAAAAAAAACACACTAAATTACTTGGTAAAATATCTCGTCTGATTACGTGGAAAGACATCTGATGTACTAAAGAAATTACTAACGAAAGTAATAAAACATTTTTTGCCATTTGAACTTTCTCTAAAAAAATATAAATAAATGTTAAATTAAAAAAAAAAAAACTTTCATTTGCATCAAAAACAATTGCAAAATAAAATAAATTTTAAAATATAAAAACTTTAATTGTCATTACTTTTTATGATCAGTGTGTTCTATTAGCTTGAACTCTTTTTACCATAGTAGGATAAAGCCTGAGCTCCAATTTATAAGAAAAGATACGGAAACAGTTTTACTCAAAGCACTCTTCAAACAGTCACGTTTTTACAAATTACAATCAATTAGATTAACAACCTTAGTCTAGACACTTAATTTATGTCATTATGTTTACACTCTTTACATTTAAAACACATTTTAGTAGAACTTGAAAGATTTTAAATGAAGATCGCGACCTGAGTGTACTTTTTTTCTGATAAGTATTTTACAAACAGAATACGTGTAAAAAAAAAACAGGAAAGTATAAAACTTTATTCACTTTAATAATTTTAATTGGCAACATTGCTTAAACTAATTCTTGTGCTGAATTTCATTGTATTGTATGTTTTAGTTATTCAAAACGAAATACTAAGTGCAACACTTAATTATTCCTAACACACTTAATTATGCCAAAAAATCAATAGTAGTCAAAATGAGTTGCTGGAAATGATGGTGAGACAATTAATATTTCGATCTTTTTTTTTTTATATACAGATTAAAGATTGAAGCAGGCATTATAGCATAATATAGCTTGCATGGAGTTAATTACAACATAACTCTATTATTAGCGCATCAACAACTACAAACGTAGGCCTTATTTTAAAAAAAAGCAAAACATATGCATTTAATGGAAACAAATTGATATAAAAACTTAACGCATTAAAAATTCGTTTTTTATGCCTAATATGTACACAAGGGTAGCATATTGTAATTTTCATTGCGATCTAATCTGTTATATTCAATTAATTAACGGGACAAGGGTTCTAATAAGCTGAGGGTGCACAGTGATTTAGAAACACTTAAGGTGGTAGATCCCCATTCAATCTATTTTTTTTTAAAAACACAATAGAGATTTTTCTTGTTTAATAACTTTTTTTCCTTATAAATAAAATAAGTGAAATTAAAAAAAAAAAAAAATCAATTTAATATCATTAATTAGCATAATTAGATAAAAAAAGACCCCATAATGGTACATAGATAATTCCATAATGCATGGTCCGATTGTTATCAAATTTTGCAGGTAGCATTCATGCATGGGTGTTAATAAAATGTACCAAAATGGTTAAAAAAAAATTATTTTTAAAAATGTTATGGTATTTTTTACTAAGGTGTTAGAAATTTATGATAAAAAAATGGACTTGACTATTCATAACTTTTTTTGACCTTGCAGAAGTATGCTGATTTTGGTACATTTTATTAGCCCTAGTGCATTTAACATACTGTGAAAATTTCAAGTCAATTTGACATGTAGAACTCAAGATATCTTTGTACCAAGTATGAAAATTGAAATACAGAGAAAACGATCGTTAAAAAATATGTTTTCAAATATAACTAACTTTATGCTAAAAAAAACTAATATGCTCCAGATATATAGGAATCTACTTGCTCTGTTTCCTTTTCTTTGTCAGAGAAACCTTTTTTTATGGCTCTAAGTTTTTTTCTTCTTGCAAGTCCTTGTTTGCTAATTTTTTTTAATGCATTACTTATGCGTGTCGCATTCGATACATTTGTAGCTTTATTCATGTACTTTCCAGTATGAATGCCAAGTTTTAAAAATACATTAAAAATTCCAGCTGTTCCTTCATTGAACTCTAAAACTGCAGATGATACACCAATTTCAAGTATTGTTTTACTAACATAAGTTTGTTTTGGGCACTTTTTCCATATAACATTGTTTATTGATTTATTATTGTTTTGGGTTCCACCATGCAAACACTTAGTCAACCAACTATCGGCACTTAAGTCAATAAATATTGGCTTAATCACATATGGCTACAGATAGACTCAATTTTACTTTATATCGGTTTTGACCTGTAACTTGGTCTGCTTGCCATATACACCAACTTGTATCACTCCTTGGACAAAACTTATGACGCTCAACTGGGTCGGTAATGTCTGAATTATGGTAAAGAACAGCCCAAATACATTTTTTCATAAAATAAATATTGTCACAGTTTTGTCGAATGGCCATTCCATAGTAGTTCTGAAGTGTATTTACAGCTTTATCGATGAGTCTACCTTTTCCCATAATTTTTTTATTGTCAGATAAATTAACACCTTTTTTTTCCTGTCACAAATTCCTAAAACGTGTACCCATTTGCTTTTGTACATGTTCAATACATTCTTTTTTTATCAATAACCACATTGTCACCATATGGTTTAGAATGGATTACATCATTAAAAGATAAAGTATCTCCGTCTCCAATGTATGATGTATATCAAAGCTTATTTTTCTCGATTGATCTAGCAAACATCTTCAACTCCCCCGCAGATTCCATAAGCCCAAAAGCTTTGTCATGATTAGCTAAACATTTGTGGTTCAAATTCCATTCATTATATTCAGAATCATTTTTTCTTTTACCCCAATACTGACAACCTTTACATGACTTTGAGAAAACATATGTATCAATACATTTTCCATTTTCTCTTGACATTATAGTCACAACACCATTTATTGATGCATGTCCTCATTTCTGCCATGCCCCATCTATGGATACTTGACAGTTAGTAGCAATGCCTGTAAGACTCCCATTAAGTATGGTAACAGTTTCTTGCGCTGCTTGGGAAGTGGATTCAGCAGCAGCCTTAGTATATTTCTCATGTAAAATTTGATTTATATTATTGTAGTTTTTTAGTCATTGGATTGGGCATATTTAAACACCATGCAAACGTTTGAATTGAGGCAAAACCTTTTCCAAATTCGCGAAATCCTATAACCATTCGAATATTTATAGTTGATACTCCTCTACCAGTTGCCTTGTTAGTATATTTTTTGTCACATTCAGTCGAAGTTTCAAATTTTGTAACACGAAATCACTGATGTTCATGTTACAAAACTCACACCAAAGCTGGAAATTTAAACAAAAACCACGTTTATTTTTAATATTATTATTGAGTGTCAATGGATTTGAACAAACTGGGCACACACTGAATTTTTCAATAACTCCTTTTAAAATGTCAAAATTTATAATAAAATTAAAATCATCTGTAGTAATTTTAGTCTCTAACTTTTGACACGCTTTAATTTTTAGAGAACTAGCACAATTTTTTTCATATTGAGTTTCAGCTGTTGTTCAACAACAGCTGAAACTCAACACAACAACAACTTGTTGTTGTTGAATCTATATGACTTTTGGTATACTGATTTCCTTTAAACTTCGGTTTTTTAAATCGTATCTTCTTTGGCATTTTTAATAATAATTAAATAAATAAGTTTTTACATAACTATTATTTAAAAAAATGCTTATTTAGGAAAAATATTTGTAAACACAACCAGCCGGCAAAGTAAGAATGTCAATACAAAGTGTCTTTAAAAAAATTTGTTTTGCAAACAAGAAACGGTAAGTTATGTAATGTAAACAAGAAGCATTTAGGCAGTTTATAGAAGGAAAATGGAGAGATTCGATAAGGAGGAAAAAAACATAAAAAGAAAAGAAAAAAATCGTAAAAAAAAAAAATCGTAAAAAAAAAAAATCGTAATTTTTTTTCTCATCATTAAGTCATAAAAATCACAGAATTAGATGTTTCCTACTTAAAATAAGTTATTTTACTGATTAAATTTGAATTCCTCGATAAATTCTTCATAAGAACCAATAAAAATATTTTTCTTAAAAAAATGTTTAAAAAAAGGGGATCTACCACCTTAAAATTCGTCCAAAATACAGTTTTTTGAGTAGCTTAATTTAAATAATGTTAGTAGCTAATTATTTTTTAAAGTTTCTTATGATTCAAACGGTATAAAAAAATAAATACTGAAATAATAGATTTAAACGGTAATTTATGTTTAAAAGTAATCGAAAACAGCTTTTTTTAAATTAAAATTCTAATATTGTTAAAACTTAATTTCCCCCTAAATACAAAGTCTTTCGTTTTAATTTTCATTACATACAAAGATAACAGATAATTCTATTTTAGTTTTTAAAAATGATTTAATCTGTGCTTATACATGTTATAAGAAATGCATTTTAAAATTGCAATTTTAATGAATTTAAACTTAATTTTATGTAGCTAGAACTTTTCACCTTCGCGAAATCAATTCTTTATTTAAAGAGAGTTTGTATCATTCTATAAGAAACCAAAAAAGTTAGCTGTTCCAACTTGACGTAAGCGACATAAAAGCTAATACGACGTAATTTAACTTTAATTTATATGTTTTGAGAGATTTTTCCTGATATTTCTGAACAAAACTATATATATACAGGTCCGTATCCAGCATTAATTGGTTTTCGAGATATCTTACTTCCACACATGGAGCAAACTCCAAACATTTATATGTTTATACTTATGTCAAATAAAGATGCTTTGCAAAAAATTGCAATGATTGGAGCTTGAGAACAAAAAAACCCCAAAACTTGTGCTCCCCCTGGCCCAAACTTGAGAGCAACAAGTTGATGAAATATTTTTTGTACTATTTTTAAGTAGACTTATATTCATCGATAAATTTTAAATTTTATAGTAAAATATTTCAGCGTTTAAAAATTTTGACCATATAAAGTTTAAACCCCCCTCAACTTGAGGGGTTTGCAAATTTTATATTGTTATAGTTATGTCCCCGATAATGCTAATATATATATATATATATATATATATATATATATATATATATATATATATATATATATATATATATATATATATATATATATATATATATATATATTTTAAAATATTAAATCGCAGTCAAAAGAATTTAGTATGAATTTAGGTAATTAGGTATTTAGGTAACATTTTTAGTTTGCATTCATTATTAAAAAAAGTTTTCTAGGGCCCTTCTGAGGCCTCAAAAAAAAAAAAAAAGTTCGCTAACTTAGTA